ATCTGTCTTCAACGTAAAAAGGGATTTCCGTGAAGTTTTTCTTAGATTTTCTAAGTAATTGTTGTTTTCTATTCTCATCATTCGAAATTAACTTCGTGCATGCTATACGAATAAACTATCTGATGTAATCTTATTCATATATTACAATATACCATTTACTTTGATAGCAATCACAATTTTATTTTCCTCATTTCTGCCATTATTGTTTCTAAATTTACTGTATCAATATCGAATACACTTTTGATATACAAAACTATATAAAGATTTTATGTAATGGTCAAACTGTCCAGAATTTTATAATCAGAGCCGATAAGAGCAGATGATCTGAAGGCTCTTTGCAAGTTTTGTGAAATGCTTGAATTTCATAAAACTATAATGCTCTTTGAAAATGGATCTTTTAATGATTGGAATGGATCTTTGAATGGTTGAAATTCTTACTGAATGATTGAAGTATAACTCTTTGCAAGATGTATTTCAATTAAGATTGAATCACCCGTGTGAAGTGGAACGTTGCTCACATCAAACATATTATCTTAACAGCTATTCTGCTATGATGTGTGATTTATGGAATACCTAGTAATGTACATTACTTTTTAATAAAATAAAAGCACTTAAAAACATTCATATACAGTTGAAGTTCAAGACTATTTATAAGATAGTCCTGAGTTACATCGTCATTATGCAAATAATGTATGATTTTATGAAAATTTATATACAATATATAACAATTGTGACAGAATAAGTCTACATAATTATATTTTTAGAGGGTTTAAATGCAAAATTTATCAGTATATTTACAAAAATTATACAGTAACATCTTAATTACTGTATTATGATAGCCAGAATTATGATGAATAAGACGATGAGAAGACCTTGCAAAGTCTTTTCCTATTTGTTGTTTAAGGTCGTAAACATGACCTTTTCACTAGTTAATCATTTAAATTATTTTTTGTATTCTTAGAAACATCAATTAGACGTCTCAATTCAATTGCTCTTTGCTTCATTAATAATCAAGTCAAGCCTGAAAACGAAGACGTGATCAAACCAAATTAAACTTTCGCGTGCAAACGAAAATAACTTAAGGTCATGACCTTGAAAGATTTATTTTAATTAATTCGATCAAACTTGATCGATCATTATTGAAACTTAAAGCATTTATAGGTTAATATATAAATTAAATCTGTTAAAGAAACAGCCGTTTAGATATTTATATCATTAATTAATTAATTAAAATTTAAAATTGAATATGAATAATTATGTATGTAATTGAATATAAAACTTAAAAATTATTCTTAATTACGTAAAATCTAGAATTAATATAAGCTGTAACTTAATCAAACATAACAATTAAGCGTATTTATTATAGGGCTACATTTTGGCTAATTATGTAGACAAATGTTAGGTAATTTGGTTGAAGATAGGCGATTAAGTCGCCATCTTGTTTTTAATTTAATAATTTGAATTAAATTTATTAATTTAGAATATTCTAGAAGAAAATATCAATCCGGAACGGAAATCGAACTCGCAACTCCAGCTTATTTTANGTGCCTCTCAAACAAGCTGGCCACGTGGAATTTTCCAGATTTTCTTCACGTGTCTAAAATGGCATTAAAAGGCTTTAATCACTTAAAAAGGCTCTCTTATTGCGTTTTGGGCAATAAAGGAGCTTTCTTAAGTGATTAAAAGGGCCTGTCAAGAGTGGAAAAACATACGTAACATAATTATTGATATTTTGTAAAAAATTAGATGAACCATGATCTTCTTATAGAATATACAGGGTGTCCCATTAAGTATGGAACCATAGAAGTTATGTTGATCTTTGTTTATTCTTTTACAGATAAAGTATGGGGTTGAGGAAGGAGGAGAACCGAACACAAGCAGTTTTAATGGTAAGGACTAGCAGTTAGCGAGAAGTCATCGACAAACATATATTTTTACGTACATTTATACACATAAAATTCATTTTACTTCTTATAAGCAGTCTTGTGAGTGCCCAGTTATCAATATTAACACTGTAAAATTAATTTATCAGAAGGAAAAATTCATATGTATTAGTTCATATTACTCATAAAATTATTAAAAATATTTATTTTAAAGTAGGAACAGGTAGGGCTTAAGTGCTTAAGCTAAAAAATCTGCAGCTTAGTGCCTTGCTTTATAAATTTATACTCTGCAGCTTAGGACCTCACATTTTTATATGTATCATTAGGCCTATATGAGAAAAGGAAGGAGGAGAAGAGAAAGTTATGTATTATAGTTTAGGACCTCACATTTTTATACGTGTGCTTATAAGAGGGAAGAAGGAGAAGAAGAAAATTTATATATTATAGCTTAGGGCTACAAGTCCAGCCCTAGGAACCGGAGAACATTATTCATTTATTCTTTAATCATCTGAATTTAAGGAAACCTTTTGATGAAATTCAATGAAAGGATATATGGAAAATGAATGCAACTAACCGTGTAATCAAAGCAATTCTAATTTGAAAATTATTTCGAGTTTCGAGTAATGCTACTTAAACTCCAAACATGTCAATTTTCTACTAAAAATTCTTAAATTTCTAAATTTCGTGCATTTTAAATTAAAGTAAATACTTTTTATTAACGAAATATAATTTCAATTTTGCTTAGAAGATTTTATTATAACGAGATACAGAGCCTAATGAACTAAGTATGCCATTAAGAATTTGTCAATTTAATGAATAAATAAATACAATTTATTCTAGAACTAATCAACGTCTATCTGAGTTGAATAAAGATCAGAATTGGTCAAGGACAGAAGCTAAAATTGTCATAATAATGGAGTAAAGTTTAATTTATCACTGACAGTTTCTGCTTTCATCCATTGTGAATTTGTACATAAAACTTTTCAACGGCTTATTCTTTGAAGTTTTATAAAATTTAAATGTTGTACTAAAGTATATTCACTTCTAAACAAAGTATATTTTAACGAAAACTAAACTTCACTAAATTAGCATAAACAATAGCTTAAACAGCATGGAGTAGGCCTTCATTCCCACATTTCTCTGCCATTTTCAGAGATTAATTGAGAAGAATTCCAGAAAATAATGGATCTGTACTGTCTTTTGTCTACCCCAAACACGACTTAACTCTATTAAAACTTATTTTAAACTTATTATTACTAAATATTCTATAGAACACTGCCGAACACTATCCATAAGATAAGTCTAATAGCAAAATCATGTTGTCCTTGACATAAAATTCGTAAGGCCCCTTTCTTCCATTTTCTATAATTCGCTCTCTCTCTCTCTCTCTCTCTCTTACTCTCTCAAGGGAAATTTTATATTATAAATTTAGAAGAAGCATTAGAACGAAGAGATCATTGTTCCTATTTTCCTAAAAATCTACTTTAAGTTCTAGGAAAGTGTTTCGTGTAGTAATTTCTCATTTGCATATTTCACTTGCCAAAAAGTTTGGCCTGTCCTTGAAGCATATGTTCAAGGAAGCGTAAATATTACTCGACTCGAATAATTTAAGTTATATAAAAGTCTTCTTCTGTACTAGAATTTACATCCCAGTTTTAAATCGTGCATATTAAACCTACGAGTTAAAATTAGAATATATTATACAATATACCAGTTATTGGTGTACTTTCTAGTGTTTCGAGTAATGAATCAACACTGCAAATTTCCCAGATAATCTTTTATTGCATACTTTCTAAATTATTCCCCATTATCCCTACTGGTAATTCCCTCTTAAATAGGTGGCCCCTCGGGTGACATTGCGACATTTATCCGAATTTTTAAACAGGAAAATCCGGTAAAGAATAGATTAAAATCAGTAAATAACTCATGTCAATGATAAATTTTACATTAAAAAAATATTCTGTCATGTAAAATTTTACTGTAAACCTACGTACCCCTCTCTCATTGTATGCCTCAGTTAATGACACATCTACGCTTAATAATACAACTTAAACTGTTGCTAGAGTATTAAAATCTTATAGAATATTCCTGGATAATTTATTTAAATAATTTACTTTTTAATTTTTTCCAATTTATGTGATTAATTTGCTTTAAATAAGCTATAAAAATGGTTAATTTTCTCTTAATTCCATGCAGATTTGGAAGAGGTTTCAGAAGCTATTTCGGACTTAAAAATAGCTTTTAAGTTTAAAAAATTAAATTAAACTTAATGTTTATGGATTTAATGTATTCTGGAAGAGTTTTAAGATATAACATGCGAAATATTTAATGACATTTTAACTAGTTTTAATGGTTAGTTAATTATTTCTTAATAGTTTTTAAATGAGAAATGGGCTTTTATGCGGTTTTATGATAATTAAACTAGCTGCAAATTATTTATTTCTCATTAAATTAAACGTAAACAGTAAACACCTTGCTATAACTTTGGAGCTTATATCAAAGCTATAATAATACATTTAAGAGACATTTAAGATCGATTTAAAGTAAATTACTTCCTTATAACTCTAAAAATTCTTAAAAACGCTCTAAAACATGCGAAGATAGTTAAACATTTAATGGATTTTAGACTATGTCTGCGCGTAAAACACATTTAAAATTAATTAAATTCAATATTTAAAGCTGATTTTTTCGAATTATTTAAGAATTTTCGATATATTTTAAAGCATAAATCTCTAAAATACACTTTAAAAAACTTGCCAAAAAAACAAGTTTTCCAGATCCATCACGTTAGACGATAGTATAAAGAAATAGGGGGAACCCCTTAACCTTGAATCAACTAAGTGATCAAAAGGGTTTAACTTTATCTTTGGATTAATTAAATTTAGAAAAAAAAAAGAAAAAAAATTCCCAGATATTGAGACATCGTTTACATCACAAACTTCAAGGTCTCAAATATACAATAAAAGCCACTCTCACTCGCTCTACACATCACTTAATTTCTTCGATAGCCAGCGAGTTAACAAACAGGTGAGTGGCTGTTAACAGCCAACTAAAATACTGAATTTCTTTCATTTTATACAATTTAAATCTCCCTGTTTCAGTAGAATACATAGAATCATGAAGGCAACAATCTTGGCTGTATTGCTTTGCTGTGCCATTTTGGGTACCATTCTTCTTCCAACAGCTGAAGCTCAGTTTGGCAGAGGAGGATACGGAGGATTTGGCAGAGGAGGCTACGGAGGATTTGGCAGAGGAGGATACGGCGGATTTGGCAGAGGAGGGTACGGAGGATTTGGCAGAGGAGGATACGGCGGATTTGGCAGAGGAGGATACGGAGGATTTGGCAGAGGAGGATACGGAGGATTTGGCAGAGGAGGATATGGCAGAGGATATAGAGGATAATCTCGCGGCTACTTCAGACATCTGAATTTAAGGAAACCTTTTGATGAAATTCAATGAAAGGATATATGGAAAATGAATGCAACTAACCGTGTAATCAAAGCAATTCTAATTTGAAAATTATTTCGAGTTTCGAGTAATGCTACTTAAACTCCAAACATGTCAATTTTCTACTAAAAATTCTTAAATTTCTAAATTTCGTGCATTTTAAATTAAAGTAAATACTTTTTATTAACGAAATATAATTTCAATTTTGCTTAGAAGATTTTATTATAACGAGATACAGAGCCTAATGAACTAAGTATGCCATTAAGAATTTGTCAATTTAATGAATAAATAAATACAATTTATTCTAGAACTAATCAACGTCTATCTGAGTTGAATAAAGATCAGAATTGGTCAAGGACAGAAGCTAAAATTGTCATAATAATGGAGTAAAGTTTAATTTATCACTGACAGTTTCTGCTTTCATCCATTGTGAATTTGTACATAAAACTTTTCAACGGCTTATTCTTTGAAGTTTTATAAAATTTAAATGTTGTACTAAAGTATATTCACTTCTAAACAAAGTATATTTTAACGAAAACTAAACTTCACTAAATTAGCATAAACAATAGCTTAAACAGCATGGAGTAGGCCTTCATTCCCACATTTCTCTGCCATTTTCAGAGATTAATTGAGAAGAATTCCAGAAAATAATGGATCTGTACTGTCTTTTGTCTACCCCAAACACGACTTAACTCTATTAAAACTTATTTTAAACTTATTATTACTAAATATTCTATAGAACACTGCCGAACACTATCCATAAGATAAGTCTAATAGCAAAATCATGTTGTCCTTGACATAAAATTCGTAAGGCCCCTTTCTTCCATTTTCTATAATTCGCTCTCTCTCTCTCTCTCTCTTACTCTCTCAAGGGAAATTTTATATTATAAATTTAGAAGAAGCATTAGAACGAAGAGATCATTGTTCCTATTTTCCTAAAAATCTACTTTAAGTTCTAGGAAAGTGTTTCGTGTAGTAATTTCTCATTTGCATATTTCACTTGCCAAAAAGTTTGGCCTGTCCTTGAAGCATATGTTCAAGGAAGCGTAAATATTACTCGACTCGAATAATTTAAGTTATATAAAAGTCTTCTTCTGTACTAGAATTTACATCCCAGTTTTAAATCGTGCATATTAAACCTACGAGTTAAAATTAGAATATATTATACAATATACCAGTTATTGGTGTACTTTCTAGTGTTTCGAGTAATGAATCAACACTGCAAATTTCCCAGATAATCTTTTATTGCATACTTTCTAAATTATTCCCCATTATCCCTACTGGTAATTCCCTCTTAAATAGGTGGCCCCTCGGGTGACATTGCGACATTTATCCGAATTTTTAAACAGGAAAATCCGGTAAAGAATAGATTAAAATCAGTAAATAACTCATGTCAATGATAAATTTTACATTAAAAAAATATTCTGTCATGTAAAATTTTACTGTAAACCTACGTACCCCTCTCTCATTGTATGCCTCAGTTAATGACACATCTACGCTTAATAATACAACTTAAACTGTTGCTAGAGTATTAAAATCTTATAGAATATTCCTGGATAATTTATTTAAATAATTTACTTTTTAATTTTTTCCAATTTATGTGATTAATTTGCTTTAAATAAGCTATAAAAATGGTTAATTTTCTCTTAATTCCATGCAGATTTGGAAGAGGTTTCAGAAGCTATTTCGGAATTAAAAATAGCTTTTAAGTTTAAAAAATTAAATTAAACTTAATGTTTATGGATTTAATGTATTCTGGAAGAGTTTTAAGATACAACATGTGAAATATTTAATGACATTTTAACTAGTTTTAATGGTTAGTTAATTATTTCTTAATAGTTTTTAAATGAGAAATGGGCTTTTATGCGGTTTTATGATAATTAAACTAGCTGCAAATTATTTATTTCTCATTAAATTAAACGTAAACAGTAAACACCTTGCTATAACTTTGGAGCTTATATCAAAGCTATAATAATACATTTAAGAGACATTTAAGATCGATTTAAAGTAAATTACTTCCTTATAACTCTAAAAATTCTTAAAAACGCTCTAAAACATGCGAAGATAGTTAAACATTTAATGGATTTTAGACTATGTCTGCGCGTAAAACACATTTAAAATTAATTAAATTCAATATTTAAAGCTGATTTTTTCGAATTATTTAAGAATTTTCGATATATTTTAAAGCATAAATCTCTAAAATACACTTTAAAAAACTTGCCAAAAAAACAAGTTTTCCAGATCCATCACGTTAGACGATAGTATAAAGAAATAGGGGGAACCCCTTAACCTTGAATCAACTAAGTGATCAAAAGGGTTTAACTTTATCTTTGGATTAATTAAATTTAGAAAAAAAAAAGAAAAAAAATTCCCAGGTATTGAGACATCGTTTACATCACAAACTTCAAGGTCTCAAATATACAATAAAAGCCACTCTCACTCGCTCTACACATCACTTAATTTCTTCGATAGCCAGCGAGTTAACAAACAGGTGAGTGGCTGTTAACAGCCAACTAAAATACTGAATTTCTTTGATTTTATACAATTTAAATCTCCCTGTTTCAGTAGAATACATAGAATCATGAAGGCAACAATCTTGGCTGTATTGCTTTGCTGTGCCATTTTGGGTACCATTCTTCTTCCAACAGCTGAAGCTCAGTTTGGCAGAGGAGGATACGGAGGATTTGGCAGAGGAGGCTACGGAGGATTTGGCAGAGGAGGATACGGCGGATTTGGCAGAGGAGGATACGGAGGATTTGGCAGAGGAGGATACGGAGGATTTGGCAGAGGAGGATATGGCAGAGGATATAGAGGATAATCTCGCGGCTACTTCAGACTTTAAAAAATGGTAATTTTAATTAATTTATTAAATTTATTCTTTAAAATATTTTAAAATTTTATGTAATTTCAATATTTAAAAGTATCAAAACGGAGGATTTAGAGGCTTTTTCCTCTAAATCCTCCGTTTCGATAGGCTATTTAAAATTATTTTCTTAAATATTTTATAAATATTTTTGTCTTTAAATTTAAGTAATTCAACATTTTTGTATTTAGTAAATAAATGAATAAATTTTAAGCTTTATTGTATTAAAAATTAACAATATTTATATAATTTTTTTCAGATATTTTCGAGGGAACTCTTTTTATGTAATAACGATTATAAATTTTATTTTTAAACCTCAATAAAATTTTGTACATAAATTTTAACATGTGTGGCTTTGAATTTATTTATTATTTTATATTATTTATATTTTAAAAAAAGTTTAATTACATCGCAAAAATAAAAAAAAGCGTTATAAATTTTTATATATTAAAATTACCAACTTACATTAAATTAATTTTTTTATATAATTTAATTTTTATCTACGAAAAAATAAACAATTTTTTAAATTAATTTATATAAAAGTAATATTTTTGTTAAACGGGTTACAATTTTAGATAACAGATGGCGGCAAAATCAATTTTTTTTTAATATAAAAGTCTCGAATTTCAGTTATCACGTAATAATGAAAAATAAATTTTGATTGTTGCATCATAGTTATTTATTAAAATACTTATTACGTAACAATTAATTGAAGTTATTTTTTGTAATTTAAACATTTTTTTTGTGTGAGTAACTGTAAATAAATATATTAATATATAAAATGAAGGTTTTTTTAAAAGTCTGTATATTCTGTATAAGTTTATAAGAATATAAGCCTTTAAGTAATGCAAGTTTAATGTCTACATTATGCTAAAAAAGCATATTTTAAAATCGTATATTATAGAATTTAGAGGCTAAGTGATGAGAAATAAGGGGCTCGAGCCAGTTACGAATATAAGCTTCAGCCATAAAGTACAGTACATAAATATATTTTAAAATTTATTTTATTGGTTTTATATTTTATACCATAAATTAGTTTACATTGCCGATCGGTAGATGAAAGTGCAATATAGTCCGAGTTATACCAATGATCTAGTGGATAAAACCACTTATCACTGTGGTAGTTGGTCGTGGGTTCACACCTCACCACCTGTAGGCCGCGCGGAGTTTTTCCCGGTTTTCTTCAGGTATCTAACATCTAAATAAGAGCTAATTTCCTATAAAAGTCTTCCGAGAAGATATTGCTACTTAACAGATGCGCACGTGTTACTTTGCCTTATCTCACCAATCCAGTAGAGTCTGGATTCGATTTTATTCGAAGCGAAACTTTCGGGTGACCTGTTTATGCTCTGAAAGAAAAATAACAATAATAAATAACTGTTTAAGCTCGCAATGATATCGACCGTGTTTAATTTTTTAATTGTTATTGACATTATCAAATAAAAATTTATTGATACAAGTTATTGCAAAAGTCTAATCCATCCTAAATCAGCAAAATTAAACCTGAATAATGCCTAATTTGGATATTAAATCACTAAACCGTGTCTCTGGTTTGCGCCTATTTAAATTAACGGACTGATCACGTGAAGTTTTCCGTATTTTCTTCACGTGCCTAATGACGGATATCATCCTAATTTCGGCGAAGGATCCGGGTTCGGATCTTAATGAATTATCAACTGGAAATTTGGATCCGGATTCATTCTATATTCTTCATTTATATTGACCTACAATATTACGGGTCTTACCTGCCCGTAATTTTAATTAGGCAATCACAGACATGTAAGAGATCCAGTACAATTCGTATCTAATATAAAGAGAGAAACCGTATTATAAATTATTTTATTTTAAAAAGAAGCTAATATTTTATATTTTCATTGTCTTTTTCCAAGAACAACCAGAATATAAGGCTAGATCCTAGTTCGCAAGCCACTCGCCATATTTGACCCTGATTGAAAACAGAACATTGGATTCTTGCCGAATACTATAACTAGTTAGACTACTAGAAAAAGTCTGTCCTTTACGGAATAATCGATAATTGATTGATTAATTGCTAAATTTCTCATGAAAAATACGCCTATATAGTTTTTTTTTCCGATTGAATGTTAATTGGTTTGACAGACCACTTGCACACTCGGATTTATCCTCTGTTAATATTATTATATATTTACTGTAAACCATTTACCACAAATCAAGTAGTTCTGATAGAGGGTTACCACATACCACATACAAACCACTTTATAATATAATATTAACCACTTAAATACATCGTTTATGTAAGTGGTATTATTATACTGTACTGTACAATAGCAGAATACTAATTTAATCTGTTATCTGAATCAAGTCCTATCTATCCGAGGTCTAGCAGAACTATTTGGTCCGGGCCTCACATTTACATGGGCCTTAAAAACATTTGATACAATCTCACATTGTGAAAAAAAATCTTTATTTTCTGTCAAATTTTATTGTTTAAAAAAATAAAATACAAGTTTTAATGCTGAGCTCCAGAGTCTGATTTACATTTGTGGTCCTAAACTATAATATAATCGGCTCATCCCTTCCACCAAATGATAATGGATAATATATGTAAGGCCCTAAGCTGCACCTTGTTTATTTTGTGTAAATACAGCCTTCATAGAGCTTCCGAAAAGAGTCCTAGCACTTTAGGGCGGATCACTTTACTAAAAATACTTTTCCCCGTAACATATTAATTTCTATTTTTAATAAATTACATTGTTAGAAGGGAGGAAATATTATAATTTAAACAGCAGAATAATCTATTATTTCGACTGGAAATGCAATACTTGTTTACTTTTCTTTCTTAAGCTAATTATTATTATCTTGTCATAAAAATGCATATAAATTTCATTAATAGAAATGAATCATGTGGAAACTTGTTTTACAACATAATTGAGAAACTTGACTTTCGGAGAAAAAAAATTCCCTACAATTTTTAAAAAATAATTATCAAATTATACACGCAACAAGCTTCCGTTCTGTTAGTCATATCAAGAAGACTTTTTCTGGAAATAAATTTCATTCATTTGTAGAATTATCTCAGTTAATATTACTCACTTTATTCGGGAATTTCCCTATTTATATAATATTGTTGATAGATTTTTCTAAGTATTTTTCATTGTTTTCACTGATATAAATTTCAATTGTTTCCCTTAAACACTGAAGATCTGAAAACAATAATTGCACATATATTTTAAATTTAAATATTATTCTATTAATAAAATTTTTAAAATATTTTTCTTAAATAAATGCAGGGTATAAATAAGACTCTTCCATTTATTATTATTTCATATAAAGAAAAAAGTCCCTATGTACAGGAATATTTGGCCCTTTTTCTGTATAAATTGCCTTTCTCTTGTAAGATGGCGCCACGCACAATTTACACTTTATTGCCGGGAACGTTATGCAACTAGTTGCTGGATTTTTTACGGACTTTTAAAATTTTTTAAGGTCTTTTTTAAAAGATTTTATAAAATTTTTCGAGATTTTTAAAGGTCTTTTAATAGCAAGCAATTATAAAATTAATTGTTTTTATACTCAAGTGATGGCGCCACCGCCTACTATATATGAATAGATTTTTAAAATTAATTTCTAATTATTAATATTGTCACAAGATGGCGGCATAAGTATATATCATCAAGCCAAATTCTATAATTGAATTAATGAAAAATTAGCGCAAAAAGGCCTAAAATTTCGGCAATTCAGATTTATGATTTAATAACTTGAAGTACGTTTTTAACAATTTTTAAATAAATTTAGAAAAAGTTATTGATGTTAATTTAGAAAAAAAAGTTTAACAATTTGTTCTAATGAAAATAATTAAATAATTTTTAATCAATTTTTTTTATTCAGATTTATTTATATGCAGTATTTATATTTTATTTCTGTTTATATAAAGATTTAGAGACTAATCATCGTTATTAGTCCTCAAATCTTTAACGAAAAAATGAAAAAACAATCTAATACAGTGGTATCTTGTATTTGGAATGATTCTAACTTCGAACGTTCCAGAATTCGAACGCTAAATTCGAGAGATTTTCCATCCGGAGTTCGAACTGTTCTTCTCGCTGCGTAAACTCCATCCGTTATGTATGCAAGTTGTCTCTCGCTCTCGCTAATTTTGAAAGTTAAAAAAGAAAACTGGAAAATTGTATTTTAATTACAAATGTGGAATTGGCACGGTGTAATACAAGAATAGCAAGTAACGCGCGATCAGGTAAAGTGAGCACCATGAGTGGTCACTTTATCTAATTGAAAGATTGTGAAGAACATTTTAGGATTCCATTTATAACCGAAATTAGCTAAAAACTTGCGTAATATGTACTGTACATTAAGGGGACAGCAGCGATAAATTTCACCCTAAATTTTGTTTTAATCAGATGTAGGATTAAGAAAATTTTAGTCAAAATATTTTTAAATAATCCAATTAATTATTTAAAAAAAAATATATATCGTATTTACCTGCATATAAGACTTTTCCCTGAAAAATACTTTCTGAAAATGGGGTGCATCTTATATGCCGTCAAATACAGTTATTTTCTATTGTTATTCTATTTACAGTGCGTTGATCTTTGTTTATTCCTGATTATCATAAATTATCATTCCATATGACCTTATTTTGTACATCTGTATGTATCATATCTCTTAATAAAGATAAAATGCACTTTATTTTTTTACAATTAACATATTACTGGCCGAATTTATAGTATAATTATGGAGAAATCTTCATAATTCTCATTAGGTTAAGTCAGTGGAAGAACAAAGTATTTTATTTTTATACGTATTCTGCTGATATTAATATTGTAAAACCTTATATTTATACAGGCTTACAATATATTTTAATATTAAATTATTAAAGTTATACATTTGTGTATTTAAAGATAAACATAATGATTATTTTTAATTAATATTTCATTTCGCTATTCAGATGTTTTAATAAA